TTTTTTTTTTTTTTTTTTTTTTTTTTTTGTAAGATTTTCTTGCTATTCGAAACATATAGTTTTGTTGGCTTTGATCAACTACCGTTTCATCGTAGTGCACCTACTGGCCTTGGATACAGCTGTCAGCAGTTTCATAATTTAACTGAAATTGCATCATCGTTTTGGTATGCAGTTGGCTGTGCTTCTGACGTTCGTTTCTCTGCGATACTTTTTTCTGGAATGAGATGCCAGACGTTTTACATCCGTCTCTCACTAATTCTTTTTTTTTTTTCAGCCCTCATGTTAGTTACCTCCACTTCCTAACAGGCATCATCCAGAGGCGAATATGCCATCTCTTAGTTGTTCAGGAGTCCCAAGCCTACTCGGCTTTCAAAGCACTAGTACGCTGAACCACACTGAAGGTGTTTCGAAATAAAAATTTCCGAGTTCTTGCACGGACATTTGATGGACAGTTGTTTCAAAATTTTGGTATGACCTGGACAGGCGGGATTTCTGGTGCTGTATTACCAACAAGTCAAATTTTGAAACTTGAGCTCACACTTCCGGATTGTTCGAACCAGAATTATGATGCTGCTTATTTTTCAGCGGATTTCAGCTTCAGATTGAAGAGGCAACAGAACTAGCAATAACTATGTATCAGCAGGGATTTCGTGATCGATGTGACAGCGACATAATGGTTTTGTTGCACAGAGGCAGTACAGGCAACGCACCAATTGGTGACCTTATCGCGAGGTGTGTACGCTTTCACTGAATCAATGAAGTCAAGCAAAAATAGGAAAAATCTTGAATAGCAGCAAATTTAAGAAGCAACTAAGCAGCACTTTACATGACTGGTACTAGATGAAAAGAAAAACCCAGCAGAATTCAACCTCATGCGGTTAAGTTGTGCTGATTATTGTCTAAAAGATTCAGTCAAGCTAGCCTGCTTCACAGGACATATTTACTGGTCAGCTTGCAATCCGGGATTATGAACCGATTTTGAGGAGAGAAGGCGAATATGCGGTCGATCTGCAAAGATATCATCTTTTTGTGGTGAAAACGAATGACTAACCCGACAAATGCGGTAGAAAACTCAGAACTTGAGCACTCATGCCTAGCATGTTACTCTTTTTTTCCGGTTGTGTTTTTTCCTGACAAAAATGCGCAGTTTGATCCTCTTTTTGTGATTTTTTTTTTTT